GTCAAACACTGATATGATACAAAGTCATACAAATTATTACAAGTTACCATAAGAGTGATAGATAGACAGTTGTTCTGTTAGTGGCTACTAGGCAGCTGATGATTGTTTTGAGTAGATATTCAGACGTTGCTAGGTGGTTACTATACAGACAGACAGACAGACAGACAGACAGACAGACAGACAGACAGACAGACAGACAGACAGACAGACAGACAGACAGACAGATAGATAGATAGATAGATAGATAGATAGATAGATAAACAGAACTTAAGTTTTTACAGAGTTTGTTGACTCTGCGAAGCCACCATCAAAAGAGAAGAAGTGTGCACATCTGACTCTTGAGCAGGACCACCGTTTCGTCTCTGGATGTTTTGCACCTTTAAAGAGCTTCAGTAAGAAGGGCATTTTTGTCTCTGCAGCTCTTCTAAGCCATTCCCAAAAAGAGAGGCCATTCTTTTGGAAACGGACATCTATTAACCCCCTCAACAGTGTGCAATGCATGAGAGGCTGAATCCCCAGCCACTGCGCTCCATCAACACATTCTGATGTTGGACCGTGATCTCTTCAAGCTTTCATCTCGTCTCTGCTGTTCCTGGTGGCAGTGCTGAAAGCTCCTCGGGGACGGCTTGTTGACAGCTATTTCTGCACCGTGCCGGGCTCTGCTGTTTGTTTGTTCTACACATCTGACAAACCGAATCCCGTCTCCCACAGGTTTCTCTTATATAAGGGAGCCAATTAGTGCAGACACTCCTAACAGGATGTGAACAGGACTGTCCCAACATTAGGCTGTGGGCTAGACATCTGATAAAGGATACAGACTAATACTGGCCTCATTAAAAAAAAGTCGGAGCGCATTTACATAATTAGATTGCATAATTCAATTTTTTCCAGTATTTTTGTGGGAGGGAGCACTGAACAGCAATGGTTTATGAAGATGCAAGAGACATCCCAGCTAACAATAATGTTTTAAGAATGTGTTCCTAATGTTCTCATAAAGTTATTAAAATGTTATTTCTGATTGTTCTAAGTTCCAAAAATCCATATTAAAAAAAAAATGTTTTAATGTTTTTTTTATATCAACATTCTGAAAAAATTAACTCAAAATAAAATAATTAAAAAACTATTTTAAAAAATGCAAATGATTCAACCTAAAACTCTGCTGTTTAATAAAGTTTATGAAGTTACTGTTGATACATCCTAGCTGAAAATAATGTCTTAAGAATGTTCTCTTAACTTTCTAATGAAGTTATGAAAACACTATTTCTGAGTGTTCTGTTTAAGTTCCAAACATCCCGATTTTTTAATGTTTTAAGAATGTTTATCCTTGGTTATAACAATATTCTGGAAAAAAAGAAACAAACTAAAAACTAAATAAAATTAAATAAATTAAATAATATATATATATATATATATATATATATAATAAAATGAGTTTTATTTAATGACTTGTGGTATAACCAAATAAACATGTAAATATTAAATATATTAAAAATAATGATTTATATATATTTAAAATAATTACTTACCCTTTGGACTTTATGACAGTTTTATCACATTTCCTGTTTTCTTGAGGAGGATTTGGACACATTGAATGGTCATTGTATGTAAAAGAGCTGTGTATGGTTCTTAAAAATTTCTACTGTTATAGAAAAAATAGTCCAAGTTGGCACACCACAGCTCCAAAAGTAGAAAAATATTTATGTTCTCACCACAGGTGATGTTTCGAGCCTACAAGCTCTTCAGGCTCGAAACGTCACCTGTGGTGAGAACATAACTAAATATTTTTCTACTTTTGGAGCTGTGGTGTGCCAACTTTGCTCTTCCTGTCTGACATTGTTTGTGGTTGAGCACCCACATTGAGCTTTTGGCCTGCTGGATGTGCGCACTTTGATTGTAATCTTTATAGAAGATTAAAATTACAACAAATGGGAAACAACATTAAAGTGAGTAAATAATGCCAGAATTTTCATTCATTGCTTTGATAAAAGGTACTACACTGTATGCTTATTATTTCATTGCAAGAATGAAGTGACAGTACAATGTACTATAACAGTAATGTATTAAATTATTGTGTGACAGATCCTCTCATAGTTTAACACTTGTCTATATAAAACTGCATTATTATCTACAGTACATACAGTAGCCATTATGTTTTAAAAGGGCAAGCAATTGTGACTGATGACGCTGATCTGTTAATGCACTGAGCTAAACATCAAATCTTATTTATACACATAAGTCCTGCGAAAATGTCCAAAATGAGGCTTAAATGAAGCTAAAAGCCTGAAAGAAAAAAATATAAACCAGTTTAGTGATTCAGTGCTTTTTGTATATTGCAATGTCATTTGCATGACTGTAAATCATAATGGGATAAATTCTATAGCAAAAAGCTTTCATGCTGATGTTGAAAAATTTGAATAAAATGGGACTGACAAATGCACAATATTCATAACAGTGAATAATCGCTCACCTAGAGGATCCTTTCAGAAAAAAACACTTTGACGATATTCTGCTCATTATAACAGTCAGAATCAGAAAGAGCACATCCCTCGAGATAGAGATTTAACCTCTCAGGAGATAACAAAATTGGCTCATTTGTACAGAAAGAATAATGGTGTCCAGGCAAGGAGGATGTCAGGATGCATGCTGTGTTCACTATTAACAAGTAAATGCAACACTCAGGGCCATAACACATCCGCACAACACAAATAAGATGTTGCTTTTGCTCCCATAATCTAATAAAACCCTTTCTGAATCACCTAATTAAAATTTCATACATGGAGAAAAGCAGCAAACAAACAAGCAAAGTGCCTGCATGTCCTGATAACCTTATTACTACTTCAGGTTTGTTTGTTTTTTGCGCAGATTTTTTCATTGTGCTCAGACGAGCGTCTGTCCTCAAATAAAGTGATCGAGGCCATGCATCATGTAATCTGTAAAATCGCACCTCATCTGTAAAACAGCACTAAAGCGGTAACAGTACTTTTATAAAAAAAACATCAATGATCAATAAAAAGTTAAATGTTGCTACTTATCGGAATAAGCTATCGAGTTTTCTTTCCCATTGCAGTGAAATCGTCCAGCAGCGTGTTAGGTGGTTCAGTAATTCTCTTGTGTTGGAGCAGACACCAAACAGCATGATCTCTGATTACTCATCCAAAACCATCTGATACCACCAGAAATCATTCTGCAAAGACAGCTGGGCCATACAGATAATGGCAGCATTTAAGCCTAATTGTCTACTGTGTTTAGCAGATTTAAACACTGCTTTGCTCTCCACTATTCCCACTCTCCCACCACACCATCCAATATCCTGAAAACAATCATTACACACTAGTTCTATCGCAAATTCTGTTCAAGGGATTTTATAATAAACAGCATTATCAATCCCCAAATTTGACAGTTAGAATTAATATTTAGAATTAATTTTATTTTTATTTTTTTCAATATAGTTTTCACTGCCCCCATTATTTTTATATTCATTCATGCATTTATTTATTTTCTTTCTTTCTTTCTTTAATGTGTTACTTGCCATTTTTGTAATTATTTATGAAATTTACTAGCGATTTCTGAGTGAAAATTGTTTCACCACCATTTTTTTCAGTGTATATATCTTCGGAAGTCATATTATAGCTTCATACAATGTTGTTATTGTTAATTAAAACAAAATCACAAAATCTAAACTAAATTAAACTATTAAAAATTGGATAGTTCTATGAAATAAAGTATTCAGTACCTGAAATAAAGCTAAAATAGAACAAAATATAAATATTAGAAGAAAGACAAAAAGTACAAATATTGCTTTGGAAACTAACTGAAATAAATAAGCTTAAATTGAGGTAAGTTGAAGTAGCCTTTTTTTTTTTGCACCAAAAACAAACTATTTTCACCTCTCAATATTTTCTGTTTTGTTTTCATTTTTGTTTTCCAATATAGTTTTAACTGCCCCATCTTTCAATAACAGCTCTTTGCAAAACCTAAATAAACATAAAATCATTTAATGTCAAATATGTATTTGTTTATTTCACTGTAAAGGAAGTTTTGAGCTGTAAAAAAAACAGTATACAACTACATTTGGTATATCAGAAGCCTTCTGAAGTCATATTCATACCAGTTCTATAATTGTTAACTAATAATAATAATAACTATAATTAAATCAATACAAATTATTTTTGGTAATTGGAATTAAGCTGAAATTAAACAAAAGATAAATATTAAATGAAAAAAAAAATACAAGTTTTGCCTGGGTGGCTTATTGGAATAGATGTTAAATGACTAAAACTGAAATACAAAATAAAAAAAAATAAACTAATGCTTTATAGAACTATTTTTGCAATCTAAAACTTCAACTTACTGTTTTTATCAGTGAAAAACACTGAAAAACTTAAATCTATTTCTGACACAAAGCTATTGCACGACTTCAGAAGACTTGGAATATAGTGAATGAGTTGTATGGACTAACTCTTAGTATTTTTATTTTTTGTGCTTAATGGATGCTATGGTCACTATGAACTGTTGTTGTGTGGAAAAGAGCTGCGTAAAGATTCTTCAAAAACTTCTAGTTTTCTGTTCCACAGAAAAATAACAGCATTCAGGTTTGGAAACACTAGAGGGTGAGTAAATAATGACAAGATGATTTTAAGGTGAGCTACACCTTTATGTCCCCTTTAGATTCCCCTGTGATTGTGTGTTGTGACTTGCTGCTGGCATTTGGCACAAACGCTCTGCTTTCTCTGCTCTGCTCCGCTCCGCTATAGGTGCTGTAATTGGATAAGAGGGAGGAGAGATTAATGGCTCAGTCCCCAGTCCATCAGCCAATCCCGTTAAATGCAGCAGGCCACAGAACGGCGCAGTGTAGGAGCTCTCGGCTCCAAATCGCCAACAAGTGACACGTCCTCCTGGCACCTTCTCCACACACACTGCCACTCTTCTGAGTATCTGCCAGCAGCCTCTCAGCTCTTCATCCTCGCTCTCTCTCTCTCTCTCTCTCTCCCTCTGGTAATCAAACTCCATCAACTGGATTTCCTCATCTCAATCTCATGATCTTTGAGAGGTATCGGTCTGAATCAGTCTGATTCTAAATCAATAAACAGACAAAAGGAACAAGATACGATCATGAAATAAGATTATGAAATCATACTCATAAATAAAACCACGTCACACCTAATAAAGCTTTGCAGAATTAAGCTTTGTTTTTATGCAAAATATAACTTTTTGAATTTTGATCAGTGTGACTTGGACAAATTGGATTCAAAAAGAAAACTATGACAATGACACATTCCTGAAAATATGCTATCTATCTAAAATTTTTATTTCAGTTTTAGTTTTATACTGTTTTAGTACATCAAGTTAAACTGAATAAAAATGAGAAATTATGCTTTGGCAGCTATAAAAAAAATAAAACGAATTTATGTGTTTTATATTTTATTTTATTTCAGTTAATAACATAATTAAAATTACATAGTAATATAAAATCAATATTTTAGATGAATTGATGGTCACGCTTTATTTTAAAGTCCAATTCTCACTATCAACAAACCATTAACTATGACTTTTGCCTCAATAAACTCCTAATTTGCTGCTTATTAATGGTTAGCAAGGTAGTTGTTAAGTTTAAGTACTGGGTAGGATTAGGGATGTAGAATATGGTCATACAGAATATGTGCTTTATAAGTTCTAATAAACAGCCAATATGTTAATAATAGGCATGCTAATAACTAGTTAATAGTGAGAACTGGTCCCAAAAGTGTTACTCAATTGATTGAATAGTAGCTCCACCCCTATTGTCAGGCTTGTGTTGTGTTTTGTTCCCCATGTACTCCCTGTGTCCCAGTGTTTATGCCCATATTTGGTTAGTCTCCTGTCCCCACCGGCCATTCCCGAGTCAAGCCCGCCTGCAGCGGCGGCGGCTCTCTCCTGCCCGCCTACCGTTCCGATGTCAAGCCCGCCGGCCGCGGCTCACTCAAGCCCACCGGCCGCTCCGAAGATAGGCCTGCCGGCCGCTGCGAAGTCAAGCCCGCTGGCCGCGGCTCTCTCAAGCCCGCCGGCCGCCATTGACGCAAGCCTGCCGGTCACTGCAATGACAAGCCCGCCGGCTGCCCAGTTCCCCCGTAGCCTTGCTGTGCCTGCTCCTCCAGAGCACCCTCCAGTGCCAGCTCCTCGTAAGCGCTTCACAGTTCCCCAGTTAAGCCCAGGGAGGTTTCCTGATTCCTCGTTTAGCCCAGGACGGGCTCCTGATCTCCAGTTCAGCCCAGGAAGGGCTCCGAATCTTCAGATTAGCCCAGGGAGGGCTCCTGATCCCCAGTTAAGCCCAGGGAGGGCTCCTGATCCCCAGTTAAGCCCAGGGAGGGCTCCTGATCCCCAGTTAAGCCCAGGGAGGGCTCCAGTCCCCGGTTTTGGCCCTGAGAGGGCCTTGGAGCCCGTAAGCGTGCCCAAGTATTTTTTTTGGGGGGGGTAGTAAGACCGTAGAGGCCGGAGCAGGGGATGGGGCTGCGGCCTCGGAGGCAGCTCCGCCATGGCCTCCCGAGCTCCCTACTCCGCCATGGGCCCCTGAGTTCCCTGCTCCACCATGGCCTCCTGAACTGCCTGCTCTGCCATGGCCTCCTGAACTCCCTGCTCCGCCATGGCCTCCGAGTCTGCCTGCTCCGCC